GCATTTCAAAAATTAAGCAGTATTTTAATACAGTTTAATCCAGTAGCTACTCAACACAATATTATTTCATAATTGCAACATTTTAAATCGTCATGGAATATTTTAAAGGAAAATGTCAATGAAACTTTTATAAAATTAAATGAAAATGAACATTCTACTGATGATCAAGTAGAAACTAATAAAGATGCGATTTTATCCTCTTACTGCATTGCTTGCAAAAATTGCTCTATTTGTTGTTATACTATATTATTCAGATATAACATGTTAAGTGTCGCTTATTCTATACTTGGTCAAGCATACAAATATCTGCTATTTATGTCTGTAACACAAGTGTCCGGTGAACAAAGCTTTTCTATGTTAAAATTAATTAAAAGCAGGCTAAGATACTTATAAGTATCTCGCAAGAAAATCTAGAAGCCTTCGTGTTAATGTTGTTAGAGAAGGATTTTTTAAACGAAATAAATTCTGATGATGTCGTTAATATTATTGCTCAACAAATCAAACTTCTAAATAAAAAATTAATATTGTAGAATATAGACTTGTGCTTATTGTAATTTTTGTCAAGTTGTATTTTGAATATATTTAAATATAAATAGAAAAAAATACATTTTTTTTTATTTGTGGGCTGGTAATAAATTTTCCACACACAAATTTTAGGGCCAGTCCGCCCCTGCTTTGCAATAAAAATCATAGTCCTCTTATTTTGATATTCAGTGTGAAATTGAATCACAAAGCATGCTTCAGGAAAAATAGCCGAATGTCTAGCTCCCATGTGATAAGTCCCGTGCACCACATACCTGGCAATGTCGTGATGTCGCATGGCAAATTCAGATAGGAAAACAGGAAGTGGCATTGAGAACCGAAGGCAGTTTTCATGCAGTGCCATTTAATGTTTCCAGATTTTTGATTGGGGATTTTTTGTTGACTGACAAAAATTTGGGGAATTTTTTTTGAGGTGACATTTTCTTCACTTTGATATTTTTCTGTAGACTAAAGCATAAAAATTTCGACCTAATGGAACATGGTGAAATATTATTTATGCATTGTTATCAAGTCCAGGGTGGGCCAAAAGTCACTTTACCGTTTAAAAATGAAATAACTTTTTTACTTTTAATTATTTTATAAGTTTATTTTTAACATTATAATGTACACATCTTGGATATTTTTTTTGGCCTAAACAATTTTAAATGACCCTCCATTTTCCACTTCACAAAGATGAGCTCTTTCTATGGCACTCTCCATAACTGCTTGCAAAGTGATTCTGTTTATCATTCGAATTTCCTGATGCTCAGCTCAGCAAGAGTTCGGGGCTTATTAATAAACACTTGCTGTTTCAAATATTCCTATAAAAAAGAAATCTGGGGCTGTCAGATCAGGGGAATGTGATGGCCAACGAAATTTCTATTTTAGACATATATTTTAATAATTCAGAACTAGGATGAATTGAAATTCACGATCACCATTAAAACAAAGGAATTAACACCACTTAGACAAAATTTAAAGCAATTTATACCAAAGTTAGATACTTAATTCTCCTAACTTTAATTACTTTTGTAATTTCTGTTTTTATTGGCATGTTTTCATTTCTTATTATCAATTGAAAGAAATAAGCAGCTCTTCGCTTGCCATTCGTCATTTGCAGACGAACGACAACCCAGAACTCACCACGTGGAGGTGGCTGCTTCAGAGTTCCACCAAGAGTTGGAAAGAATGCAACTTTATAAGCGACTGACATCACTTGTCGAGTTTCATTCGTCCTAACTCACACAATGAAAATATTTATAATTTCCTCTGAATACATCAAATTCAACTATTCGAAACTTGCCGTATCGTTACTATCTAAACTAGTGGACACGATAAAACAACAACTAGTAATAATGAAAGGAAGAAAGCCACTAAGATCCCAGGTCACAATAAAACGCACGTTAGGGCCACAAAACTTACTTCAAACTCATACCGAACCTCAATAAACAAAAACAAAAAATTCTCGCCCTGTGCAAAATCTAATAAAACTGGACACAGAAAGCCGGAGCCTTTCCTCGGCATCATCTGTCTTCACGCGAGCGGGCCTTAAAGATACGGGACACAGAAAGCCTTCTCCGCCTTTCCTCGGCGTCTTCTGTTTTCACCCGAGCGGGTCTTAAACATGCGGGACACTCGGAGGACTCTCCATCTCCCGTCGGCCTCTTTACTCGAGCGGGCCTTAAACGTGACACAGAGACCCCTCTTCGCCCCGTCGGCAACTCCTGTCTTCACCCGAGCGGGCTTTCTCCGCCTTTCGTCGGCTTCTTCTGTCTTTACAATGGTCACCTACAATACCCGAAAAAACGAACAATACATTGTAACAATTCGTTAGGTATTGTTAGAATATATTTTTAACAACGCGTGACGTATTACGATCACATCATGTTTTTACGTCCGTGTTATGTAAATATATTAATCGGTTTGAAATATTTCAGAAAGGATTATTTTATTAAAATACTGTAATATTTAAATTACAGTACAGGCAAACCTCGACTTACGTCGTTTCGAGTTACGTCGTTCCCGATTATACGTCGCTTGTTAAAAAAATATATGGAAAAATAAAAATCAAGTTTAAGTCATTTTATTCGACTTTACGTCTGTCCGCCACAAATATTGAAGTCGTAATAGCACTAGAAAAACGTTTAAAGAACATAAAATCATATTGAAATATATACAAGTATGTACTGTATTTACAGTACATGCATTCGTAAATTTAGATTACTTTTTTTGTACTATATTAAAAACTAAAATTTATTTGTTTGTAAGCTTAAAATAGATTTTAATTAACCATATATTATTAAAAATGCATTAATAAATAAAATACAGAACCGGGAATGGTAATTTACGGTTTAGCATAGTGATAAGTAGATTCGGAGACAAGTAAATTCGACTTACGTCGTTCTCCTGGGACCAATTTCCGAGGTATACCTGTATAGGAGTAATTATATTAGAAACAGGATTATTATAACTTTTTAAAGATAACGCTTTTTTCTAATAAATAAAATTATAAAAATGAAATTTACAGCGCATAAACTTATTTATATATATATAAACAAACGGTTGAAATATATTCTTTATAAATCCACTTAATATAAAACTATCCAACATCTGACTATAGACATATATTAACTTTATCACAACACACCTTTCTTGTTGCCGAGATAGTTTTACTGAAAACTAACGTTTTCGGCTCACTCCATAGGCCATCCTCAGGCTTAACGAGAGAATTAGAACATTGGCGTTCCATTAAATAGAATATATATGTTCAAATTCAAAAAATTGGAAAAAAACGGACAAATAAGAAAATAACTGAAAAAATAATATATACAAATACAAATATACAATAAAAAACAAAGTCAGATATAGCAATAGAAATAAAAAATAAAAATAAATCTACTAATAATACTTTGAACAAACATTGAAATAAATTATTAAGGTATATTAACAAACATAGTAAATCTTCTAGTAACTGCAAAAGAAGCTCAGTCTTGTTTAGAGAAAATTTGACATTTTCTGGAGGTAAGTGCATCCAATAAGGATTATCTGATGCATGTTGACTCATTGGATACATTTATCTACATGACTTGAGGAAATAATGTAGTTTGAACNACAAAGTCAGATATAGCAATAGAAATAAAAAATAAAAATAAATCCACTAATAATACTTTAAATAAACATTGAAATGAATTGTTAAGGTATAATTGATCAAACATGTAACGATTAACTAAGGTAAGATTACGAGTTCATGGCAAACTTTTTGACTGTAAATTTCCACGCCGTTGGTAGGCCTTCTGTTTACCACAGCCCGCTTTACATCACACCGCAATCAAATGACCCGTACCGTTATAAGCTGGCAACGTTCCGAGCTCTAATCAGCAGAGCCTTTCTGTGTTGTGACAAGGTAGTAGACAGAACAAAGGAAATCGACAGAATTGTACAAGTAGCTGAAATCCTAGGATACAAAAAAAAGGCACAATAGCAGGAATAGTTAGAAAATATGAAATGGGCACAGCAAGAACTTCAAAACATGATCCTAGTGAAGTCACAAAGTTTACATATAACAAGAACACTGAAAAATATCCGCCTTCATAATTACTTTTAATTGATTGTAACACTGTCTTCGATTTATAATTTGGTATCACAGGTATCAAATCTACGAAGTCCTATTATAGTTTTTCCATAAAATCTGTATCGGTACAGAACCGTAAACGCTGTAACTGTCTCATCCTCAGTCCAAGTTCTAGATAGCTTCTATATTCTTGAATATTTTGGCTTTGCTAGCCAAGTGAAGACTCTTGTCAATTAGAGAAAAGAACGTATCGTACAGTACGTTAACTGTCACGGACATGCGTCCGACATATTTTTATAATATAAAATTCCCTTTAGGAAAATATATCGAAAATTGTTTTTCATTTTAAAATAATAAAATTCTTTTTAATTGTCTTATTAACTCTAATTAATTTTTATTTTGATCATATTTTATTATAACATAAACTATTTAATACTTCACACCACTTTATAAACATGCGAAGCATACTTTTTTACGAAAGACAACAGCCGCACAAAAAGTATTTAGCCGGCAAAAAAAGAAGAAAGAGGAAAGGGAAGAAGGAGAATGAGGAGATAGAAAGTCTATATAACATAATTTTAAGTCTATATACAATATATAGACTTAAAATTATGCTATTTTTACATTAGAATGACAATGCGGTATAATAACATTTTTTAAATTAAAATAGTATGATCTTTTGATATAATAATTACCGCGGGAATCGCTCAAGAAGGAGCGTGACCCTATCCTCGTAGACCCCATATTGGGATGCATGCGGACTGCGCGACAACCCCCACGCTCCCAGCAAAAGATCGGGGACCAATGAAGATGCGAGAGACCACCAGCTCTTGTAAGGTAGCCGACCCGGTGGAGATAGGGGTTATTGAAACCCCACTCCTCGGCACCAGTATAAGGTTGCAGTCTTTTAGGGGAAATCAGTTAATCATGCGTCAGGATGAACCTAAGGGAAGTTCTCATGTGGGCTGTGGAGGAGGAAAATGATAAGTGTTTTACAAAAGAAAGCCTTTTATTTGGTAACATTTATGCTTACATCGATAATTGACAGTTTTACTTCTCTATAGTCCTTCGGGATGGAGAGAACTTCGACTTCGGTCGTAGCCCCTGACTTTCCTTTACCTTTTACGATCTGACGCGCTTGAGTCTATAGCCGGGACGAGTTTTAGCCTATTAATTAAACTAAGATGGGTGCCAGCCGGAACAGCGCGACAAATACCTGAGAAAGGGAGAAAATGCCGTGTCTGAGGCGTGGAAACCCCAGCTACGGGAGTGCACGTGATCTTCCGGAATATGGGTCAGTGAAAACTAACTTTTAGATCGGTAGTCTCAGAATGAGGTTGGTGTGGGATGATCAGGGGAACAGTGCCCAGCCGTCGGCGCGTCAGACGAAATTAACGGTGATTTTTTAACGGGAAAAACGCGAGAAACATGACCATACTTTTTTCAGGCAACCAAGATGAAAAATGCAATGCTCATTCTGTTAATTGTCTACGCATTTGTAATTTTCATTTGGTGATAATACGCATTAATGCATATGTACCTCATTTGCTCATAATGTTTGATATCGTAAATGTACGGTATACGTTACTCATTTTGTGTAAAATGCTCGGTATCATTAATTGTACGGCCTACTTTATTCATTTACCCATAATATTTGATACCATCCATGAACGATATACGTTACTCATGTTGCTCGATTAGATTAATATTGTGATATGCTTAACATGTTCGATTTGCAGTTTATTGTTGTAATGCATTCCTTGATGTGTTTTGGTTGGTCCAGGTGGTAACAAAAAAGCTGTAATTGGATTATTACATACAAGCGGGGTCGGACTCGAATTATCGGAGTGTGAACTCTTTGTGGCCCGCCTCGGATGATCCATCATCAATAACAGTTTCTCAAAGACCTGTTCGTTCAATTGATAAGACGTGACCTTGACTTTCGTTTCGTAGTGTCGCGCGTGCGTAAGCACTGTTATCTGAGCGGACGAAGCGCGGACTGGAAGCTCGAAGCCACCAAGTAAAATTACGCTCCCGATTAAGCATTATTTTTAAAAAAGGGGAGCCCTGTGAGGCCGTGACTTCACTCTTCGACGGGAAACCGGCTGTCGAACCAGAGTCAATAAACCAGTGACTCATTCTCGTAAACAGAATTGGGGCTGAGAAGAAACCGGGTGCGATATGATTTAATTGCCGCATTCCAAGATCTAATTGACACATTCCCCGATCGTAGATCGTGAAGGTGAGCAAGAGATCGGCAGCCGGGGAAAGTTCGATGGTCACAGTACACAAAGTTAAAAAATGCGAGAGCTCTTTTAGAGGGGGCAGCGGCTGGGACCGTATGAACCCAGTTGTGTCTTCTCCGAGACAGGAGAAAAACAAATTGACAGAAATTTAAGAACTCCTCTGTAAGCATGTTTTGTCTTAATAAAGCGATTAATTTTGTCACTCCGGTGTCCGCGTGGGTCTCTGCGTCCAGTACTGTACAAACCTCTCTCACATCATCCTGACCAAGTCGCGGGAAAAGCGAGGGTCTCTGTGCCTCCTACCTAAGATAGACTATAATCGGGTGTAATCGTTCGTTGACCACGATTATTTACATCATATTCCTAACGCAAATTTGACGTTTTCGGAATCCATCGTATTCTTTACTTCATAATGACCAGGTTAAATACAATATGGCCGCCGGCATGTGCCTCCGAATAGCGAACAAACTTCTGGATCCTGACAGTGTCCGGTATTCGGAGATTATACTGTATTCAATGGAAGTGCCCAAGCTCCACACTCCCATACCGCCTGGGAAAGTGTTTTATGGCTTTACAAAGACAACGAGCGAATATCTTATTGCAACATCGTGACAATGCCGGATTGCAATTTGCAATCTTATTTTAAATTTTAAAACTTTTGAGTCGAAATCATGTGACTTCCGGTTCAGAGCGAAAGTTCTATATAGTCAAGAGCATCTGCATCTGTATGATTTTCTCAACAGTATATGATAAGTCTTAATAGGAAGTAAAAAATTGCAATGCTCATATATTTAGACATGACAAGTTCTAATAAGGCGGTTGCTCCTGTAAAAGTACTTTTCTTGTGTTACAAGATGCGTTCCTGAAAAGGTGTCATTTAGGTACAACTACTTTGTGCATATATTTTAATTTTGAATAAAAAATTTTATTGTGCAGACTTTATATGGATTTATTATACGTTATACAAAAGTCTCCATACAGTGACACAAATCAAGCCCACCAGTGGCCTAATACAGTAAATAAAACCATTGAACACCGGTAGTTGGTCATTGGTTCGTGCCCGACCTATGGGCCGACTATGCAGCGTTCTGGGTTTTCTTCACCTAAACAGAACCCAGTTTCCGTATAGGAAGTCCTGGGATAGGATTCCGGAAGTTCCGTATAGGATTACTCATATGATTGTAGTCATTTTTACTGTATACCCTTTTTGTTTTATTAAATATTCTACTCCTGAGTGTTTGTGCCTATTATCACTGGTATGATAAGCCATCATTATTATCTACCTCACATTATTTTTATTTAATTTAATACATTGAATTAGATTGGGCTGCAATATCAAAGAATTGTAGACCTATAAATTTCCACTGTTGTCAGTCCATTTGTCTTTTTTTAATCTCGAGAACGGTGTTAGATAAATGCATATGAATATATGGAAATCTTAGGGGCAGGAGGCCCGATTAACTACATACGAACTTCCGATGCAAACCGGAAGTCATGTTATTTTAATTCAAAAATTTTCCCATGAAAGGTGTTAGATAGATGACCGGCACGACTCTATTCTTAAAGAAAAAGTATGATGAACAAGGCACTAAGTACTAATTTGAGGTGGAGAATATATATTTTAAAT